CCAGGTAGGCATATTCAGGAGACAGTTGGTTTTATGTTTCTTGGTGGATAGAAGAGTCATGGCTGGATTCCTTTTGTTTTTGGAGACAGGGTCTTGCTGTGTTGCCCAGTCTGGAGTGCAGTGAGTGGTGCTGTTTAAATCTAGTTTAATTCTTGTAGCCTTCTGGGCTTAAACAGTTCTCTTACCTCAGCCTCCTAAGTAGCTGGGACAGCAAGCATGTGCCCTACCGTGCCCAGCTAATTTAAAAAATTTTATTTTTTAGAGATGGATCTCACTGTGTTGCCCAGGCTGGTCCTGGACTCCTTTCACCTCGTTCTCTCAAAGTGCTGGGATTACACGTGTGAGCTACAGTGCCTCGCCTGGACTCTTTAATTGTATTTAATTTTACATAGTTTGATGCAATATTATTCAATAAATGGTAGCTATTACCAACACTATTTTTATTATTATGTAGGTGGTATTTAAAGCAACCAGTAGATAAAATTTCTAAAAAAAAGAGTAAAAAGTAAAAGGAGAAGTGGGCTGGAAGCTAGAACATTTAATAGATGGATAGATAAAGAATAAGTATAGAATGAGACTAAGAAAAAGCAGAACTAAGACAAGGTCTGATGAAGTATGATGAGTTTATATAAGACTAGCCAATAATACCTGCTGTAACAGAGATATCTAGTAAAGTAACGCCTAAAAGGGTCCCCTGTATTTGAATGGGATGTCAGTGGCGCCTTCTGCCAGGCAAATCACAGTGCAAATATGGAGACAGAAGCCAGAAATAAAATGTATTAGCAAATAAATGGGAGGTTGATATAACATGGGTCCATTTTGTTGATGTGACCCAAGAGCTAAGCAGTGATAGTAGTATCTTCCAAGTACCAAATTAAAAAATGTCCTTTAATAAAAAGATGTGGTTAGTCATTTTGAATAATTATCAATAATTTTTTTAAAATAAAAAGCATAGGAAAAATTAAGAATACAAAGAGTATAGTTCTATTTTATGTATTTAGGTTTAAATCTAGTTTAATTCTTTCAGCTTTCTCTAATTGAGTTTTAATCTTCATTTACTTTGCTAATGAGATTTAAAAATATTATTTTCTTAAACTTTATAACTTTTTGCTTTTTTATTCTAACCCTGTGATTTAATCTATTTCTTTATAAGCTTCTTAAATTTCAGTCCAGCTTTAGTCTTAAGTAGTGTTGTAGCGATTAATGGTTTTGCCCCTCCCCCATTTTCTTCCTTTCTAATATATTTTAATCAACTTTTTTTTTTTTATTGGAAGAGCCAATTAAATATGTTGTTTAAAATCTTGCCATATCCACACTGTCTACCTGATTGGTTTTGCCAATTCTGTAAAACTTTACTTGATACTGTTGGGATTCTTTGGACTATGTGGCAATATTTGTAGATTTATAGAAATTTTAGTGATTTAATTCTTGGAAGGCAATTTTAGTTCCAAGTATTTATAGAATATTTTATTGTCATCTGTTAACTGTGTAACATTAGGCATGGGCACCTCTCTTATGACTGTCCTATTTTGGAACTTCACAGTCTGTACCTGCGCCTTTCAAGGCACTAAGTTCTGTGCCATGTCTTCGGAGGAGGAGCACATTTGAATAAAAAGTGTTTGTTTCAGTCTCAATAAAAGGCTTTTATAAAAGTTATGAACATTTAAAAGTGCCCTTTCCTCCCTTTTTGAGCTAATTGAATTCTTCATTTCACAGGGGTGCAAGATTCCAAGAAGAGGGGGCAGGGATGAGTATTTATTATAATTGTTAAATAATGCACTGGACACTTTCCGTGTAATGTTATTTGATCTGGATAGCAACCCTGTGACATAGGCAGTTTTATCCTCATTAGAGAAATTAAGTGGCTTGCCCATTTCAGAAAACAAGTTAATGGCAGAATCAGGATGATACTGCAGGTTTTTTGATTTGTATCTAGTTATTTTTTCACTCAGTGGTTCTCTTTGTAGGGGCTAGAGGCAGAATAAAGAGGCCTCTCCCCTGTGCTCCCTCTTGCTTCCCCGTCTTCTGTTCTTTGGAGTGTATGTCATTTTTCTCCGGTAATTTAGGGCAGAAAAAATGTTGAGGACTATCACTGTACCATTTTGTTGTCTCTGATTTTTAGAAACTGTGTTCATGCTAAGAATTGATTATAAAAGAATACCTATCTATGCCATTAGGAAACAAAACTCATCCAAAATATATAGGCTGTGCTTTGCATCATTCTATGAAAGACATGGTGGGAAGTTGAGTTATAGCTTTCTACTAAGTTGAAAGTAGGCTCTGTCGCCTAGGCTGGAGTGCAGTGGCACAATCTCAGCTCACTGCAACCTCTGTCTCCCAGGTTCAAGTGATTCTCCTGCCTCAGCCTCCCCAGTAGCTGGGCCCACAGGTGCCCGCCACCACACCTGGCTAAGTTTTGTGTTTTTAATAGAGATGGGGTTTCGCCATGTTGGCCAGGCTGGTCTTAAACTCCTGACCTCAAGTGATCCGCCTGCCTTGGCCTCCCAAAGTGGGGATTATAGGCATGAGCCACTGTGCCCAACTAATGATTTTTAATAACTTTATATAATACTGATGAATCACTCTTTTTAGTGGACTCTAAATACCATCATGATTTGATACCCCTTTTATTCATTTATAAAAATATATAAACAGCTTCCTTTTTTGACGTTTAAAAATTTTATAGTCCTTTCTGTCTTGAATTTGCATTTCTGTTACACTGTTCACACCAGATTCTATTCTTATAGGATGTATTTCATGCATAAGTTATATTTTGCATGTAGCATGCATACATTATGAAGGTAGTATATTTTTATGCATTACAGTCTTTCATGCATATTGATTACCCTATTATATGTCTTTACAGCCAGCCAAAATATGTGAATTTTAAAATATCTCTTAGTCATTAAATTGTAATTAGCACAGAGTAAAATAACAAATGTATTAAAATGTTGCTAAAGTATTTTTTATTTATTAAAAAAAATTTTTTTTCTCCTTCTCTGCCATCATAAATGTTGCTTCTCTTCCTTCAAAATGTTGCTAAATTATTAAACAGAAGAAAATAGGCTGGGTGCAGTGGCTCACACCTGTAATCCCACTACTTTGAGAGGATGAGGTGGGATGATCACTTGAGGTGAGGAGTTCGTGACCAGCCTGGCCAACATGGTGAAATTTCATTTCTACTTAAAGTACAAAAATTAGCTGGGCGTGGTGGTGCGTGCCTGTAGTCATAGCTACTTTGGGGGCTGAGGCACGAGAATTGCTTGAACCCAGCAGGCAGAGGTTGCGGTGAGCCAAGATCGCACCACTGTACTTCAGCCTAACTCTGTCTCAAAAAAAAAAAAAAAAAAAAAAAAAAAAAAATAAATAAATAAAAAAAGTTTTGCAGACAAAATATGAATCATTCCTTGTTTAACACTTAAAAGGTTTTTATACTCAGGCAATACAGTAGTGTATAGTTTCATTCAGAATAGGTGAGGAGTATGTCATCCTTTTTGTATTAATAAAAAGTGAATTTTAGGCCATTTTCTGTTACTTGGAATACCTGAAACTGGGTATTTTATAAGAAAAGGAATTTATTTCTTACGGTTATGGAGGTTGAAAAGTCCAAGGTCAAAGGGCTGCACTTGGTGAGAACCTTCTTGCTGATAGGGACTCTACAGATTCCTGAGGTGGTGCAGGGTATCACATGGCAAGGGGCCTGAAACTGTTAATATGGTAGCTCAGGTCTCTTCTCTTCTTTTAAAGCCACCAGTTGCCCTCCCATGATAACCCATTAATCCATGAATTGATTAATCCATTTATGAAGGTAGAGCTCTCATGATCCAATTACTTCTTAAAGGCCCCACCTCTCAATATTGCCCCATTGGAGATTAAATTTCAACATGAGATTTGAGGGGGATCAAATATTCAAGCCATAGCAATGGGTTTAAAGGCACTTGTGAAAGAGGAGACTGGAGGGGAAAATCAACATGACCTTTCAAATGGATTTATGATCCATTTTCAGGCAGATTAATTTTAAATTTTATGAAAAGGTTGAGTATGAATGGGAATTGAAGACCTGGGAATTATCCATTGTTGTTTATCTGTTTCTGTGTACCCTTCAGAAAGTCTGTTTACCTTCAGCAGTACAAATACATGGTACTGTGAAAGATCCCTGATCTAATATTTATAGCAACCTGTATTTTATGACCAGAGAAACTGAGACTTAAAGACGTAGAGTACTTGCCTATGATCACTTAGCTAGTAAATGGTCAATCAAAAACTCCAAAACTTGAGGCTGGGTATGGTGGCTCATGCCAGTAATCCTAGCACTTTGGGAGGCTGAGGTGGTTGGATCACTTGTGGTCAGGAGTTCCAGAGCAGCCTGGCCAACATGGTGAAACCCCTTCTATACTAAAAATACAAAGATTAGCTGGGCATGGTGGTGCGTGCCTGTAATCCCAGCTTCTGGGGAGGCCGAGACAGGAAAATCGCTTGAACAGGTTGCACTGAGTCAAGATTGTGCCACTGCACTCCAGCCTTGGTGAGAGAGTGAGACTATCTTAAAAAAAAAAAAACAAACAAAAAACAAAACTCCAAAGCTTTTCTTTCCCTCCTGTGTCATGCTGCTTAGTACATAGCCTGGTTCACAGTATATGATTACTATATAGTTAATGAATGATTTACATATTGTTTGTGAAGTCTAAAATACTTAACGTTGTAGTTGTTGCATCAGTTTTGAACTGCTGAATAAGTGTGACATTACAGATGATTCACTACAGAAGAATATTGAAGATCTTCAAAGCATGGTTAAGGTGATCTCCTTTCAGTTCCTGGAGTGGTGTTCCTGGAAATGACTAATAGAACAGCAAAAAACCGTCTACTTGGGCATTCTTGGTGTTTTATCAGTTAAGTCAGAGACCTATAACAGTGTTGGAGTGCTTGTTTTGAAGAGGTCAACTAACTTATGTTGATACTGTGTTTGTATGAAGAGTGTAATTTTCATTTCTGTTATGCAGGTATTCTCTGAAACCAAATGACCAAATCTTGGCTGAAGACAAACACAAGGAACTGTAAGTGCATTAAACAATTGGTTGTAAATAGTTTACTCTGTCTATGAAGTTGATATATGTATATGTAATCTGATTTTCAAAATTATATAATGACAAAGTGTAATTAAGACTATGAACTTAATCCTAACAGAATTATGATAACCTACACTATATAATTTATACTACATAAAGTTTACACAGGACATAATTTCTCCTGTATTCACATTAAAAGATGTAGCGTTGTATTCTGTCATCTAGACTAACGTCTTATTGGGAAATATATCATTTCATTTTCTCTTTCCAGATAAAATATTAAATTGTTCCTATTTCCTTTCTGACTGCTCTACCAGAAAAAAGTAAAAAATAAAAATAAATTGTCACTGTTAATTTTTAGGTCTTATTCCGGTGGATCACCCATCTTCATGATAATGATGGAGAAATATAATTTTGTTTCTGTCACTGGTTTATGAAAAAGTAAATGTCAGTTGTTTGGTACAATGTAAAACACTTTTTAAATTTTATTGTATTTTTATTTTTTTGAGACAGAGTCTTGTTCTGCTGCCCAGGCTGGAGGCGCAATCTTGGCTCATTGCAACTTCTCATTCCTGGGTTCAAGCAATTATCCTGCCTCAGCCTCCCAAGTGGCTGGGATTACAGGTGCCCGCCACCACGCCTGGCTAATTTTTGTATTTTAAGTAGAGATGATGGGGTTTTCCCATGTTGGCTAGGCTGGTCTCCAACTCCTGACCGCAGGTGATCCGCCTGCCTTGGCCTCCCAAAGTGCTGGGATTACAGGTATGAGCCACTATGCCCAGCTGAAGATACTTTATTTTCACATCTAACTCAGGTCTCTCTTGGTTTAGTTTAATGTAACCTTCACTTGTACTCATATATAGGGACGGTAATTTTTTTTTGTGGAGGACTTCAAGACTATTATTTTCTTCTTGAGGTTAAGTAATATTTTTTTTCCAAATACTTTTAAACTGCTTTTTAAAAACTGTCTTGAACCTTTTGCAAATTATTTTCTTCTCTCCTGTTTAAGATAACATATAAATTGTTAATTATAAAATGGCAGGACCAATGTTCAGGGAAAGGATTTCCTTGTGCATTCTTACTGTTTACACATTCTATTATTATGCTAACCTTTCAACCATATTTTTATATTTGGTCTCTCCTTATTTGAGTATAATCTCCATAGTGGGTTCTCAAATGTATTTATTGTCAAGAAATTTTTTGCTGTTTCTTTATTTCCTACTATAGTCAATGAGGGTAGGTGATTGTTACTGTAGCATTGGTTGGTTATTATTTGTAGGTCTGGTAACAGAGCTTCTTTTGCTTTGGGAATTAAGTAGTTGGTGAGCCTTAAAAGTTCCTTTAGTCCTTAGACTATGACCAGTATTAAAAATGCCAGAAATCTGCTTTTAAAGAATATATGTTATTTAATATGTAACCCATTTTAATGTGTTAATTCATTTGAAAGTTTTTTAACTGTCCAAGATATAATTCATCTCTATGGCTATAACTTGGCCAACTGACACTTTTTTCTTACTTTTTTTTTTTTTTTTTTGAGATGGAGTCTTGCTCTGTCGCCCAGGCTGGAGTGTCGTGGCATGATCTTGGCTCTCTGCAACCTCTGCCTCCTGGGTTCAAGCGATTCTCCTGCCTCAGTCTCCTAAGTAGCTGGAATTACAGGCACCTGCCACCATGCCCAGCTAATTTTTGTGTTTTAGTAGAGACGGGTTTTCGCCATGTTGGCTAGGCTGATCTCGAATTCCTGACCTCAAGCAATCCACCCACTTCAGCCTCCCAAAGTGCTAGGATTAATACAGGCTTGAGCCACTGTGCCCAGTCCCTACATTTTATTACGAAAAGTTTTAAACATATGTTATGTGTTCACCCATATATTTACCACCAAGGTTTTATCATTAACATATTACTGCACTTATCTACTTATTCTTCTGTTCATGTGTTACTTCATCTGTTTTTTGGATGCATTTCAAAGTAAATTGTAGACATCAATATGCTTCTCTCTAAATATTTCAACACATATACCATTAACTAGAGTTTTATATTTCAAAGTTTTTTTTTTTTGGTTTCACCTGTTCTAAAATTTCTTATAAACTGAGTCATGTATATGTCCTATTTTGTATAAGGCTTCTGCCACTGTGGTTTTGAAATTCATCAGTGTTGTCGCATGTATCAGTTAATTCCTTTTTATTTTTGCAGATTAGCATTCTGTTGTTTATTTGTTCTATTATTGCTAAGTATTGCCACTCGTTTGATTTGTCATTAGTTGATGATCTTGATATTTTTGGCTGCTGGCTATCTGCCTTGTAGTTTTTGACCTACATACCAAAGAAAACTTGCAGTTGAATATGGCACCATAAAAGCAGAGTATTAATTTAAAAAAATTCAACAGTTATTGAATTAATAAATTTCATGAGTTATGAAAGCTGTTTATAAATAATCTCATTTGTGTCTTGCAACTCAAATAGCCAAAATCTTAGTAGGGTGGTGGTCATGGAAGTCAGAGTCTGCTAAGGAGTGTGTAACAACTCACCTGCTGTATTAAAAACAAAAAAACCCTTTTTGTGTTCAAGACCAAGCTTTAAAAAATATAAGAGATATGGATATAAAACAAAATTTTATTATCTAATCAGTAATTCCATGCTTTATTCTCATAAAACATTATTACAGCTTCTTAATTTCAGTCTGTTAAAGCTTGATTCATTATAAAACTTGTAAAAAATGTGTTGGCACCATCACATTGACCTGCTCTTTGAAAATTAACCCTAACTCTCTAAGAGTATCAATAAGAGAATGCAGTGATAGCTCTAATGATCTTGGTATTAATAAATAAAGAGTGGCCTGGCATGGTGGTTCACACGTGTAATCCCAACGCTTTGAGAGGCTGAGGTGGAAGGATTGCTTGAGGCCAGGAGTACAAGACCAGCCTGAGAAACATAGTGAGACCCCATCTCTACAAAAAAACTTTAAAAAGGCCAGGCGCGGTGGCTTACGCCTGTAATTCCAGCACTTTGGGAGGCTGAGGTGGGTGGATCACCTGAGGTCAGGAGTTCAAGATTAGCCTGGCCAAGATGGTGACATCTCTACTAAAATACCGTCTCTACTAAACTGTCTCTACTAAACGTCTACTAGACCGTCTCTACTAAAAATACAAAAATTAGCCAGGCATGGTGGTGGGTGCCTGTAATCCCAGCTACTCGGGAGGCTGAGGCAGGAGAATTGCTTGAATCTGGGAGGCAAAGGTTGCAGTGAGCCAAGATCGCACCACTGCATTCCAGCCTGGGTGACAGAGCGGGACTCTGTCTCAAAAAAAAGAAAAAAAAAATTTAGCCTGATGAGGTGGTGTGTGTCTGTGGTCCCAGCTGCTCAGGAAGCTGAGGTAGGAGGATCTCTTGGGTCTAAGAGATCAAGGCTGCTGTGAACCATGATCATTCCACTGAGTTCTGGACTGGACAACAGAGTGAGACCTTGCCTTTAAAAAAATAAGAATAACAATAAGAGAGTACAATGATAGTTCTAATTATCTTGATATTAATAAATATTAAGTATGTTTTCATTAAAACATTTTTAGTTCCTGAAATTTTGTGATTCAGATTTCATATACACTTAGTCACTGATGCTTCACAAGTATACTTGTTTCTCTGTCTGAGGAAGATTGGCATGGGAAAACAGGGAAATATTGGTCAGCAGTGACCCTTGTTTTTCTAAGCAAAGTGGTTTTTCTCAAGTTCCTGTTTTTCATTATTCTACATACTGAAGACCTTGGGGGATGATTTTAAGTAGAGAAAGTTGAGCAATTCAAGTTGCGATGTGATTTATCTAAAACTGTAGGATTTATACTTTGTTCTATACATGATCCAGTAATGAACTGGTCTCATCAGCTTTCTAGTTTTTTTCAGTTTTAGTTTTGTAAGTGGAATAATTTAAAATAAATTAAGAAAACATCACTATTTTACTAAGTGTTTTTTCACCTACTTTCCATTGTGTTAGGCATTGAAGAAAAGATCGTGTGCAGCTTTTTATATGTCAATTATACCTCAATAAAGTGGTTTAAGAAAAAGGAAAAGATACTGATTTTATTATAAATGGAATCTTACTCTCCAATAGTGGCTTTTCAAAATCTATGGACACATCTGCAGTTATCGAAAATAGAACCATTTTGTTTCCATGAATATCTATTTTATGAATATATAAATTTTGTATTACCTTGGATTTTGAGATCTGATCATAAAGATTTAGGATAGAGGCCGGCCCGCACCACACTCCAGCCTGGGTGACAGAGCGAGACTCCGTCTCAAAAAACAAAAAAAAAAAAAAAAAAAAGATTTAGGTAAGGGAAGGTTAAAAAGTGGTCGCTGGAGTTGGGTGAATTCCAAATGCAAATATAAATAAATTCAGAAGTATCCATACTACTTAACACAGAGTAACCTGATATCTGAAGATTTTTTTTTTGTTTTGCTATAAAGGCAAGGGGAAAATCTCTTTAAAAGGATTCACCATTTGTCTTTGGCTTTTTTTAATGACTTTTTTTTATTATTATACTTTATGTTCTAGGGTACATGTGCACAACGTGCAGGTTTGTTACATATGAATACATGTGCCATGTTGGTATGCTGACCCATTAACTCGTCATTTACATAGATAATCTCCTAATGCTATCCTCCCCCTCCCACCACACCCCAAAGCCCCAAGTTGTGCGACGTTCCCTTCCTGTGTCCAAGTGTTCTCATTGTTCAATTCCCACCTATGAGTGAGAACATCGGGTGTTTGGTTTTTTGTTCTTGTGATAGTTTGCTGAGGAATGATGGTTTCCAGCTGCATCCATGTCCCTACAAAGGACATGAACTCATCCTTTTTTATGACTGCATAGTATTCCATGGTGTATATGTGCCACATTTTCTTAATCCAGTCTGTCATTGATGGACATTTGGTTGTTCCAAGTCTTTGCTATTGTGAATAGTGCCACAATAAACATACATGTGCATGTGTCTTTA